CCTCCAATTTAGAAAAAATACTCAATGTGGTCATTTGACCAACGTTTTCTATCATTGACCTACGGGGTCGTTACTTTATGCTGACGTGACACGTTAAGCAGGCCAACATCCTATTTCTATCTCAATCTGGCCCTCCAACTCAAGAAAATAACTCAATTGACCCTTGGCCATATGTTAATTCTTTATAAATGAGAAAGTATACCATTCATCATTACTATTTCTCTTCTATTTTAGTCACTAAACTTTGAAAGTTTTCATTTTAATCACTCAACTTTTGAATTACTCATGTTTTGATCATCTGATTTATTTTATTAATATTTATGTATCATGTAAATTTATTATTCTTATTTTATTAATATATGATTAAAATATTATTATTAAATTAAAAATTTTAAAATTATTTTGAAAAAAAATCCAAATAATTAAATTAAAAAATATTCCCTCTGCTTTATATATTTCAAATCTCCACTCTCCCCATTTATCCTCTCATTTCATTTTCTTTATTTTCAACCAAAGTTTTTCCTTCATTACCCGATTAAGTAGTTCATCCCCAAATTTTTAATTTTTGTACAAGTTCAATTTGGGTTAACTGAATCTAGTAATGAAAGAAAAAAAGAAATCTTTGGTTGAAAAGAAAATTGTCACATACATAAATATTAATAAAATAAATCAAGATGATTAAAATAGGAGCAATTCAAAAGTTGAGTGATTAAATTTAAAACTTTTAAATCAGTGATTAAAATAGAAGAGAAAAAATAGAAGGGCCATATTGAGTTATTTTCTTGAGTTGGAGGGCTAGATTGAGAGAAAAAAATAGGATGTTGACATGCTTAACGTGCCACATCAGCATAAAGTAACAGCCTCGTCGGTTAACGACGGAAAAAGTTGGTCAAAGGACCATATTGAATCTTTTTTTTCTAAATTGGAGAGCCACATTGAGAGAGAAAAAAATAGATGATCACATTGTTTTTTTAGAAGTGGAGGGCCTCAGGTACCCTTTTGCCAAACATTTTTGGGTTTGAGTATCAATATTGGGATGAACATCATCGATACAAGATGAATTGGAGCAAAAATTAAGGATTTTAGGCAGAGAGTATCGATATTGAGGGAAATAGTATCGATACTTATCCTTTGATATCGATACTGACCCTTTGATATCGATACTAAGGGTTTAGTATCGATATTGGATGCTCGGTATCAAGATTGATGGTCTTCATACTAAAGAACTAGTCTTCATATAGAAGGATTGGTCTTCATATCGAAGGACTGATCTCCATACCGAAGATTGAGTATTCATATCGAAGGCTTGGTATCAATACCTAAAATAGTTTAGTGACTTCAAGATGTCAAATAGACTCAAGAATGAGGAGTATTATTGATTGAGATCGTCCGTCTAGCATGAGTGTGGGAGATTACTAAAATGTACTTAGAAGCCAAAAATTACCAAATTACCTTATAGGCATCGTATTAAATATCTAAGAATGAAGGATCATTGCAGAGCGTGTACCGACAAGTGGTATGGTGAAATAATCAAATTATGAAATATATGAATCATATAATGTAAGAATGACATAGAACAGTGGACATACAATCCTCTCTCTAATTCAAGGGTGAATTGAAGGAAACCATGGTAAGAGCGGATAGAGTATCACTGATCAGTAATGAACCTAAGTTAGGTATCAGGTTAGTAATTAATACTGCCAGTGAAAACAAACATACTAATCGTCATAGAATCACGAAACACGTAGAGACTTCTCTTGAGACAGAGTGACTAAAACACCCTTAAGTAACAAATGACCAGAATAAAGAAGCTTAATAGCTAACAGTAGTAACATACTAATAAGCCTCGCATAACGTTCTAGATAAGAGAATGAGTGAGATAACAGTTAGTGAAGAGATGCCTCACTTTAGCAAGTCCAACTATGCTAGGGTATAATCAAGTTATCTTAGTTGCTCTAGTGAGGCATTATCAGTGCACGAGGCACTTTAGGTGCTAACTAGGACGCGAGGCACGAACACTCGCGAGAAGTGGGTTAGCAATATCAGTGTTGTATGGCCTTCGAGCCTTAGATATGCATGTGTAGTTGCATCTGTCCAGTACAATAGATATCCTAAAGCATGGCTTGACGACTATGTGAGATCGAGCTAATGCTTCAGTTAGACAGGAATTGTATCGATGCTATGTGACATCGAGTTCCCCATCAATGATCTACCTGAAGGCTATGTGAAGACCAAGAGATCATTCATCAGTTTAGTGAGAATTGCATTGATGCTATGTGACATCGGGTTCCCTTAGTAACTAGTGTCTGATGGTTATGTGAGACTAAATACTAGTCAAGGTGCATTCAAATAATGCACAATACAGTCAAGGTGCATTCAGATAGTGCACAGTACAATTAAGGTTTATATTCAAATAATGCATATAAGTATCAGTGTCGTATTTAGATAATACGTAACAGTTACATGTATTATGGTTAGATACCCTTTAGTGGTGTACTCATGGTGAGGCCCTTAGCAGATGACTAAAGGAAGCGTGAGACTCCTACTTCAGTTATAGAACAGTAAAGCTTTTAATAGGTAGCACTTCATTTAGATCATGCATGTACCTCAATAATAAATTTGTCAATTTATGACAAAATTTCTATATGACGTTACATATATCGTCACAAAATATACTATAATGTGACTTTTTATTGTCATCATATTTATTGATTAATTGTATATCTTTTATGACAATTTTAAAAATGGTCATTGATTTTTGTCACTATATGTTTGGCGCCAAAATCTTCCCACCAAATTCTTTGGTGGGAAACCTTTTAATGATATTTAGATAAAATAATGACATTGTAAAATCGTCTCCAATGAAAAACATGTATTAGTGTCGATTTATTATAATGACGATTGAATTTGAATTAGTGATATTGCACATTTGTCACTAATAAGTTTTATTCGTGGAAATTTAATTTGTCATATTTTATAAGACAATAAAAGTGTCATTTTTTTATTGTCACAAAAAATAGTTTTAGCACGACGAAATCAATTATTTGTCACTTGTTTTTATCACTATTTTTTATATGACAATTTTGAAAGACGTCATGAAATTATGCCAGTTAATATTAAAAAATAAGATAATCTAACAACCTTATTAAATAATACAATTTATAGATTTTTTTATATTTTTTATTTTATTAACGTTATTCTATATTATATTATCTCGTATATTGAATTGAATAAACAAATTGGGTCAGCCCACTTAACCTTACCAATAAGCGGTAAGTCCAATTAAAGAAAATACAAAAAAAAACCCTAAATCTAAATAACAATATTTTCTTTTTCTCCACTCTCCAGCCCGTTACTCAGCCATTCTTGACTCTCCACTCTTCGGTCTCCAGTCTCCGGTCTCCAGTCTCCACCATTTTCTTTTCTGCAACGACTGGACAGAGCTTCAAGTCTTCAACTGCAACGATTCGACATAGCTTCATCTCTTTCCCTTCATCTTAGCATCTTGGACGTGATTTCATAAGGTAAATAATATTAAAAATAATTTGGTCTGTTAATTTTGGGGTGTGAATTTAGGGTTTTTTTGTGGGTTTCAATGTTTCATTGATGATTGCTATTTTGTTTCATGAAATATATTATTTGCATGTGGGTGTGTGTTCTGTTGATCCTATTTTGATGGTGGATGGTATTGTGGGTTGTTATCAGGTGATTTATAGATAGGACTAGGTTGATTCTCAGGTCAATTATCGTCGAAAAAACTTGATTCGTGGTGTGGACCTAGAGCTATTGTGTTTGAGTCAATTTTATGATTCGAGTTTCTTCAGCTGAGATGGTTGCTTTGCAGTAATTTTGAATTTGTTTGATCCATCAGGACTGCTGATTTTAGATTTCAATATACGGAATTCCAGCTAAACTTTTCTTCCCCATGTTTTCAGTTGCTTAAGATTTAAATTATTTAATGGGTACTTTAGACTTCCTAAGCTTAAGTAACTTAAATTAAATAACATGCCCTTGTCTGTGTATGTGCGTGTTCATGAGAAAAATCTTACAGATTTTGTTAATTAACAGTAAAATTTTCATTTGGAGATAGAATCAACCTGCTTAAATTGTTTTCCAAGATTGGGTTAATATAATTATGGCCAAATAATGAAAGCATGCAAATCAGAACAGTGCTCTAGGGTGCTTACACGATGCTTGGATTATTCAAAGCCTGCCATCTGGATCTAGATAACTAAAATTATCATAGTTTTGTAAATATTTAGATATGACAAGAGACAATTTGCTGGCTCATGGAGCTTGGTAGATTGAGTTTGTTAAAGTGGTATTATCCCACATCAATTGAATCCTAAAATGGGTTTTAGATTGGACGCTTTACAGGAGGAAAGTGTTAATCAAAATGTGAAATAATGTTGCTTTTAACATAAAATATGGACTGTTATTGATTCATTACTGATGGATTTAGTCTTTATTTTTTTGTATGTTTCACTATTGATGATGAAATTAGTGATTTTTGGATTTTTTTTTATAAAAGTAGGAGGCCTCATTAAAAATCTCCCTTATAATAGACCTTTTCCATAAAGAAAGAACCAACCAGCGGAAGAAGAAAAATAGTACCTCAATTTATTAATAGAACAGAATTACATAAGTCTTAGCAAGTACACCAAAAACAGTAGCTCAAACATTGAGAACTAAAGAGTCTACCGTATCTTACACAAACTTTCAAAACTAATGGTAAAGGTCGCAAATTGGTATATATACAACAAGGATATGCTCAAAAATGAAGAGTTGATGTAACATAAGTTTGACATTGTGCCCTTTTTTTTCACTGTGAAAGGTACAATTGATAAATAAAAAAATAAAAAGAAATTCAAGATAACTTCAATTAGACAGTTTTTCAATTGCACCAACCACCTTCAGAAAATCCATGCCCAGAAGCCCAAGCATGCACCATAAAATGTGTCTTGCCCAAAAGGATCTAAGGCAGTTTTATTGTTTGTTTCCATAACAAGGTGCTTAGGCACACACCTCATAACCTTTCAAACATAAGTTTGACAAGTGTTGTTAACGTAAGTGCTTAGGCACCGTACTGTATCACCCAATATCAAAAGCACCTCATAACCTTTCAAACAAAGTAGGTTCGATCAGGAGCACACTTGGTACATTTAAACACGATTTTGTAAGGAGGCTGAAAGCAGGAAAAAGAAAAGAGCTCACATGGAAGTTCTAATTTCATTACACACCAAACTCTCAACTTCTTAATGTTTTGAGTATTCAAGAACACGGTATATTTTGTATGACAAACTAGATCACTTTCTAGATTTTATCACATACATTTTAAGCACATTATATATACGTACACACAGCAAAAACATAATACACACACATATAGAGCCTTACCTAGGCACATGCTTTTTTGTGCCTTACGCCTCAATCAATATAACAGTTCGAGCCTAAAGTGCATCTTGCATCTTGACAGAACTAAGGCTGACAAAACAGAGACGTGGAAGCATTGTAGAAAACTCACATCACTTTCGGTGGTGAAACAGATAGCTCAAATCCTTCACGTCTCATATTCTCAATCAAGATTCCTAGTTGCAGTTCTCCCCTCCCCTAAAGTGCATTATTGGATTGTTGTTTGTTTGTTTATTTAATGCGAAGGCAAACATGCAATGTGTATAAGAATGCTAAGAAGAAGATTGAGAGGGGTGTTGCCTTCCCCACTTGTATTTCTGTCAACAACACTGTTTGTCATTTCTCTCCACTTGCTAGTGACACCTCCGAGCTGCAAGAAGGTGATATAGTGAAGATGTAAGCTTCATATACTGTTTTTTTTTTTGCTTCATTTTGGCGTTTTTAATATTTTGTTGGGATTTAATGCTTTTTTACCCTTGATGCAGCGATATGGGCACATTGACGGGTTTATTGTTGTAGTTGCGCACACCCATGTTGTTCAGGAATGGCCGGTCTCTGGCAGGAAGGCTGATGTTGTTGCTGCTGCAAACACTGCTGCTGAAGTTGCCTTGAGGCTTGTCAAGCCTGGGAAAATGTAATTGTTCTGCATATCTTGCTTCAATATTCTTTGTTATTCTTTTGTTTTCTTTAGCTATTGTGCATTTTTATCTTATAATTCTTTAACCAATTTTTTTTACTTTTCTGAATTTTGGTTCCCTAAATGATGAATGTCTTGTACTTGCCATGGATCTACATTCAAATGAAGTTTTTTTTGTCATAGTTACTCTGATAGGGAAATTGATCTCACAACACACAATGCCTTTTTGATTTGACTCGTAGAGGTGATTGAGAGATGTATAATATAAATTTGAAGGATAGGCAACTTTGCCGAGGTGATCAATCTTTTATTTATCCCCTCTTTTCCCTGTTGCCAATATTATGTTTTGTCATGTTAGGCTGCCTTAGGCTATTTCATCTTTTATTGGTTTATGCCAGTTGCCCTATATGACCAACATTTTCTTTATAACCAACACAAGTGAGTACAACCTCATGGCTGTTTTTATTTAACTGTTGAGAAATAATGTCAAGAAAATGCTATATTTTTCATTGTTTCAAAGTTTTACCCTGTCCAGAAATATTGGTTTATTTAACTCTTTTTCGTGTATATATATATATATATATATCTTTTGTTTGCTCACATGATTCCTATGTGGTGAAGAAAATCTTGAGCTATGGATTTAGTTCCAATGTATCCTCTTTTAGTCATAGTTACATTGATAGAGAATCATGTGTAATCTCCCTTTGTGCCTCGCTTTCGACCATCTGTTTTGACCATCCAACCCTCTGTTGCAGTGGGAAGACAACTCACTGAAGATCAATTGGTTTCTTTTTCGCACTTAAATTATCAAACATAGTCTGTACTTTCAAATTTTCCTTTAGTCTATTTTCCCTAGGCGATTAATAATTTTCAAAAGCTATGGACCAACATCCAATTGAGGCTTTTGTCATAGTTACTGTGATAGGGAAATGTTTTTAATGTTCGTCCTTTTATGATGAATGCATTTCTAGTTACTAGTTTCCTTTGTAATTTATACTGTTTACAACATGCATCCATACTTCAATTGATATTATCTGTCGAACTTAATGTCTTTTGTTATGGTTTTAATGGCAGAATAAAGACGTAATGGATGCAATTCAGAAGGTAGCTGCAGCTTATGAGTGCAAAATTGTTGAAGGCGTTCTTAGCCATCAACTGAAGCAGTTCGTGATAGAAATGAAATTATTATGTTTTTAGTGAAATATTTGTTTAAATCTTATTATTTTGCAATAAGTAATTTTTTTATTTAGATTTGTATAAATAATTTTATTTTAATATATATTGTCATTAAAAATATGACAATTTTTAGTTTTGCCACTATATTGGTGACATTATATATGGTGACGTTATGCATAATCATCATTCGTAATATTATTAGGTAATGATATATTATGTCACTAAAAATGTGACTATCTTTTTCGTCACATATAAGTTGATTTTAATGCATTATTTGTGACAATATAAACTATCAATAATGAAATCTTATTTAATTTTGTGATGTAACCAATTGCCATAGAATATAAATTATAAAGTGACATTATGCATAAACGTCATTCATAATATTATTAGGTAACATTTATATTATGTTACTAAAAATTTGACAATATTTCTTTCGTCACATATAGGTTGATTTTAATATATTATCTGTGATGATATAAATCATCAATAACAAAATTTTACATAATTTAGTGACATAATTAGTTGTCATTGAATATTAATTATATAGTAATGTTATATATAAATGCCATACATGCTACTATTAGGTGATGATATATTACGTTAATAAAAATGTGATAATTTTCTTTTCGTCGCGTATATAATGAAATTATTGTGTTATTGGTGACGATATGATTTATTAATAACGAAAATGTACATCATTTGATGACAAAAGTAATTATCATTGAATGCAAATTAAACTGTGACGATATCCATTAGCGTCACTATATATTTAACAATACATGACGATAACATATGCATCGTCACTTTTGACATTTAGTGACACACCTAGGGTGACGATCGTCGTAACATTGACTTTTACGTCACAAAATACATCTAGTGACATAAATTGAAGTTTTAGTGACAATAACTTAGATGCCACTAATAAAAAATTTGTTGTAGAGCTTAGAACCATGTCTTCAACATGCTTTTTTTATTTATGAAATTCTTAATGTTGCTCTAGATTAGCAATTATATTGTTGGGCTTTGTAAGCTCAGTGTTCGGATATTTTTCATTTGTAGATCAGTAGCTTGGGCAGTTCTTGGAGCACCGTCGCAGCAGGACTTCCAACATCTCCTTCAAAGTATATTGTAGTATTAGTGGGCATATGTATTCATATAACCTTACTCATGTATTTAGTTGTTAAACTCAAAGTTTGTATTATTTTGGTTTTAAATTATATGTCACAGAGCTACAATTTTATAAAATGATTTTATGACATTTATTTGTGTTTTATTTATAATATCATTCAGTATGTTTGAAAGGAAAATGTACAGGTTTTGAAAATCACAGGTTGTCTCGATAGCCCAATGTGACACTTTAAGCCCAATCGAGTTTAGGGTGTTACATACTGAACGTTATAAAAAATTTAAGTATAAGATTAATTAGTCATGTACGGTATGAAAGTAAATTTTGTTGTGAAATATTATTATTTGTCTATTTTTTCATTACGAATCATTTTTAGAAGTGCTTTTCAGGCATACGAGAGACCCTAGCGGTGTAGTTGAATTACAAATAATTCAATGCTCAATCAATAAAATCAATGTAATCTAACAGGAAATTTTCCCTGAAATTCAAACAGTGCATGCAAAAAAGATTGCAGCTAAGACAAGTGCATCAACAAAAAGGACAATTACTCTCAAGAATCTGTACTTCGCACACCAAGCTAATTAAACATACGGTAGTACATGATAATTTTTTCCTGGAATTTTCTTCTGGGGAAAGTTGAAAAGAAAAACAGCAAATTGAAAACTGGCAATGCAATTGTGAAGGAAAAGTTTGTACCTCTGGGTGAAGAGGAAACAAAAGTATTTGGTGGCGACCCTTTTTGTGAAAGGCTTCTCTGCAGAAATTTTCTAATCAAACACGTGACCTTAAAAAACACAGCATGTTTCGAACTATATCAAAAAAGGAAACTTACTGTGATGTTTGGATTTGGATTCATTTCTTTATTGAATACTCCATGAGAGAGACTTTCCATGTCGATGGAAAAACTATCGGATCTATCAGTAGGTGTGTATTGGAATCCATTAGTATGATCCAAAATTGAAATATTTTGAGTTGACTTCTTCTCTTCTGACACACCATCCTCGTAGGAAGATGCTAAATCCTATGAAGAACCCGACCAGATACAATCACAGGAAAACAGAAAAAAAAAACCCCGAGATATTATACTTACCAACTTTGGATTTTCCTTCATGTCCATCGTTTTCTCGATAAAGTGAAGGGAAGATTAACAGAAAAAGAAAACAATAAAGGGAGGTTCAGAAGGAAGAAGAAGAAGTGGGATTAAGAGTCTATATAGTGTCAGCAACTGCGTATCGAGTGGGGCAGTCTCAATCAAACCATCTGATTACAACAAAGAGATTTTCCAACACGAAAAAAAGTATTATTTAAAATCAAAGAAATCTCGTGATTTGCAAATAAGACTTTTGACAGAGAGAAAAAACACCAATTGGATAATAGTTGCAGAAGAAAGACAAGTCTTTTTTTTTTTACTCTAAAGACCGATGAAATGAACTGGCTTTATAACAACGTTGGATGGTTCCTTGAAGTTGGCAAGTGGTGTTTTATTTTCAAATTTTTGTTTCTTTTTCCTAGAGAGGAGAGAGAGACAAGGTCAAAATACTTAAAATTGTAAAGGGTGAAAGTACACCAATAGTCCATATATTGTGAATTTTGTATAATGGGATAATGTGATCTGCTAACTCGATGATTAAATGGGATAATGCGATAGGTTAACTCAATAATTCAGATAGCAGCTGTCGAGGGTTTTTGAGTCGATGATACGTCTATTTTTATCAAATCGTTGTTCATATTTTGTATTATTTTATTTAATAAAACTTTAGTGCGTAAACTAAAACGGATACCATTGAACTATAAGTGATATACCGTTTATATCACTGCATTTTTTATTTTCCTATTTATAACAATAAACTTTGGTTTTAACTTTAATTATGCCACTGAGTTGTTAAAATCTAAAATATGTGATTGCATGGACAAAACGATATGATTTTTGAGCGCATGATACATCTATCTTTATCAAACGATCGTTATTCATATTTTGTATTATTTTAAACTTAATGAATAAAAAAATGGATACCATTAAACTTTAAGTGATATATCTATATCATTGATTTTTTTAATTTTTTAATTATAATAATAAACTTTGATTTTAACTTTAATTATATCATCGAGCTGTTAAAAATCAAACGATGTGATGATATGTATAAAATGATATTGTTTTGATGCAACCATTGATGTTTAAAACTATGTTGTTCCATGCACTAAACGTTAGGGTGTATCGATTTTGCTACTAAACTTTTTAATTGTTTCATTTTTTACATTGTACTTTTCCGTCAGCCAACAACAACCAATCACAACCCGTGAGAAGCATTATTTCGAGAAGACAAACAACATATCTAAAAATTAGCCTTATGGGACGATTATCGAAAGATATCAAAATATTAGCAAATCAAACTTTTAAATGGATTTTCAACGATTTTGAGTGAGTTTCTTGAAAAATCAATCCTAAGAGAAGAGCGATGAGTGAAATACAAACGTTTTGGTACCAATCTTTCCACAAAAGACAACAAGTGATGGGCGGTGATTGATTGTTGGTGGCAACTGAAAAAGTGCAGAGCCAAAAATGGAACTATTTGAAAGTTTAGTGGCAAAATCAATACATCCTGAACATTGTTTTGGGCATCAATAGTTGTCACCAAAACAACGTCATTTTGTCCACATTACCACAGTGACGAAAAGATCTGTGCATGTCATTGTGCCGCTAAAATTCAATAGCCTAGTGATATAATTAAAGTTAAAACCAAAGTTCAATGCTATAATTGAAGAGATTGAAAGTTCAGTATTATAAACGATACACAACTTAAAGTTCAGTGGTATATAGTGTAGTTTACCCAACTTTAATTTATTATGGATTAACTTATAATTTGACAATATCTGAAAGAAGTAGATAACAATGTTATGATTGTGCGGCCCTTAGTTGGAGGTGTATAGAAGAAAAACCATCAGCACTTTGATTACAATGTTAAGTTATTTGAAGGATTATGAAAATCGTATCAATTTTAAATTTGAGATGATAAGGATACATAGTATAGGCAGAAAAAGAGGGAAAGTCTCCTATTATATCATTTGTTCATTTTAGATGTAGGTGTCTCATGTTTTCGACGTTACTCTTTTAAATTTTTATACTGCAACGAATGTTAAAAAATCATTATCTACACATGTTACGTTTATATTTAAAAAATCATTTAAAAAACTTAAATTTAAAAATATATATAAACACGATACATATCATTTTTTTAACGGTCGTGACAAATTATAAATCCAAAATGATAATGAAAAAAATATTAGACACCTACCTAAAATATTTTTATACACTTAAAATGAACAAATAATATAATTTGAGCAGTTTTAAAAAACATGTAAAATTATGGGTTATATGTATGAATTTGGGATATGGATGTAGTAAGCTTAGATCCAAATTTATTCGGAACTCGAGTTAGTGTAGTTTAGAGCAAGTTTTGGGCTAGCTTGGACCAGACTAAATTTGAAGCTTACATGTTACAAAGTCTCAATGAAGGGTAGGGACCACCCGTTAAGTCATTTACATGTAGATGTTTATTTTAGTAATATTTCATGCCAAGTCGAGATAACCCATGTAGGCCTGTAAACGAACCGAACGCACACGAACGGAGGTATGTTCATGTTCGTTCATTTAATAAATAGACGAACATAAACGGACACGAACATAAACGAACAAAATTTTTTTTGTTCATGTTCGTTTATTAAGGAATATAATATGTTCATGTTCGTTCATTTAATAAATAAACGAACATAAACGAACACGAACATAAACGAACACGAACATAAATGAACACGAACATAAACGAACATAAACGTTGGAGACCCTACCTTCCATTGTTCTTTCATGAAAAATAGTCGACAATGCAAATAACCAAATCTACAGTGATAAATAGCGTAAGAGTTTAT